GCCGTCCACGTTCATTGTCCGATCTCGACACCGAGAACCCCGTCTCCCACCACCGCCATAGACGATGGTTCAGCAAAGTCTGTGCTGGTCCCTACCGTCGTCACTTGCAATGCACAGAACATCACCCGGAGGGAGTCGCATGCTCGGTAGCGCGTCCAGTAAGCTGTGAAGAAGGAAGCTGCGGGGAAGAGCATGCGGACATGAACTTGGGCGCATCTGGCCTGGCGACCACTTCTGTGTCGTCCCACCTACCCGCAAGAGGGAACAAGTCGTCGGGTGTTCCCGTCTCCGTTTCAACATCCGAATGGGGTCATCCTCGATGGCTGGATGCTAGAGGACGCCACCATAGACATGGCGTACAACTCGCCCCAACTCCAAAGGCAGCGGATAACGTCGGCGTTGGGCATGCCCACGTGTTGTTGAATGAAGTAGCTGGCCAAGACATGGTACAATTTTGACCCATATGCCATTGTATGGCTTGGTTCGTTTGTTGCACATACAATTGGATCAATTTAGGGATGGTAGTTTAATTGTGATGCATATTTTTTTATGAACATGATAAATGATGGTCAAGAACTAAGGCATAATGGTATGGGTGATACCAATTCCCCTATGTTTGATGTTGGGCAAACATCGCACACTAAAAAAAGAAGGTAGCAAAGGCAAGAGGTCCGACATTCACAAGCCATGAAGATGTGTTGTGTGAATCTTGGTTGGCCACAAGCATGGATCCAATTTGTACAACCAAAACAAGGGCAAGCCATTCAGGTTGTCCCATTGTTGGTTGAAATTGAATGGAAAACCGAAGTGGTAACTTGTCGTTACAGAGCTCAAAAACCCCCACCAAGAAGTTGAAGAAGAACAATGGCTCAAGCTCATAACAATCTGTTGGATTGGATGACGACGACAAGCAAAGTGGAGAGGTGGAGGGATGAACAACCAACTGTGCCAAAGAGGAATTGGCAGGTGAGGGGAAATGAGTGGGAGAAGGAGAGGGCCGTGCATGATGGTGCGGCAAGAAAATGTTTGTGGCATGGACAAGCATTTTTTCGCCAAGGAGGAGAAGGAGAAGTACAACCTCTTCTTGGATGTTCAAAGGGAGATGGTGTTGTTCGACCGAGAAAGGGCGAAAGAGAAGTTGAGCATTGAGAGAGAGAGAAGATAGACTTGGAAGCAAGAGAACTATGCTAAATGAGAGTTTGAAAAGGAGAAGACAATACAAACAATTGAGATCGGCAAAAAGAGGTTGAAGCCTGCAAGCGATGCAGAGGATTCAAGGATCATGTTGCAGGACGCTACCCTCTTGGAGGAGGGAAGCAAGAAGTTGCTACACATGAAGAAGAAGGAGACCGGCGCGCAAAGAGTATGCATTCTTGTATCGCCTATCTATGAGTTCTTAACTTTTATTTTGGCACGTGTTGAATTGTGGTTTATGTTGCTTTATTGAATTGTTGAGTTCGTGATGAAGTGATGCTATATGATGGACGTGCATGGCTTTTCCTGAATACGAGGGTTTGCATATGAGGGGTATGGTTGTCCGGGAGGACAAATGAGGGGCCAGCCGGAGCTGTCCGCGGACGCGCCCTCAAACATTTAGGGGGTCGAATTTACCCAATCCGATTGTAGATGCTCTTAGAGCCACGAAACTTCCCATGTAGCAAAATACTTTTGTTTATATGGAGCTATTATGTTAATGAATCACAAAACTAACATTTAACTAGGGATTAGAAGAACCCTAATACACACCAAGTCACCGCCAAGTCAAGACTTGTATTGCTTTATCAAATGAGTTAGAAGTTGTATGCATTTTTTAAAAGGAGGGTTTTTATTAGCTCAAAGGTCGGGTTAAAACGATAACAAAACAAATGAGTCCAACACCCATTCTGTACAAAATAAAGATCTATACACACATGCACAATTGCACACACGACGATGTCAATAATCTCTGGTGTGGAATAGGTCGAATCATTGATTTATATGTCCCTCCCGAGTTTGTGTATCTGTGTATGTTCTTTGTCCCTCCTGAGTTTGTGTATCCGTGTGTGTTCTTGGCCATGCTGAGATACCACACGTTGCGCTATGGGTACTCTCACCAATCTCGGTTATCTTGGAGCATGCCCAACCATGGCGTCATTGGTCCCTCGCACACCAGCCTCATACCTCAATAGGGGGCAAGCATGCCCAACCATGACATTCTTGTTTGCCCAATGAGGAACATTCCATCTTACCACATGGCAGCCATTCAATCAGTGTGGATTGTTGAATATGCTCATATGCCCCTTGTTAGGATGTGATTTCTCTTGGATGTTGTCCTTGCCATAGTCCATGTGTCATCTTGTGGGTCTTGTAGATGCACAACTGTGATCCCAAACCCTTCAATCTATGCCCTAAATTTTCACTTTGAGGATATAGGTGCAAGGGGTGATAAAGGGTTATCTCAAACCAAATAGCACTGCCCCATCTTTGGTCAGTGTCGATCATTAACGTGAGCCTCTTGATTAAGGCAGATCCCCTACTTATAGGTGCTTTCTTTCCTCCAACATTACATCAAGAACATACACCGTTTAAAATGAGATATATCACTCATATATGCATTTGAATTGGCATTGTGGTTTTCTTTGTGAGATTTGTCTGCTGCAACCTTGTCTTGTATCCCATAGTATCAAATTGGGTATGTGGACGATAGGCAAAAGAATATGAGGGTCCAATAAGCAAAAGAATATGAGGTGAGGGTCACTGACCGTAAGACCGAATGTGTATCAAAGTATAAGTAAAAGGCATATCAAAGAAAATTAGAATAACCTAATTCACGATGTAGTCAACAAAACACCATCACACACAATATTATGGATGATGATCGAGTCAAGTAAGGAAATTTAATGGATAAATTAAGTGGTGAGGTAGTGCGTGATACATGATGTTCTTGTCAAACAAGGGATAACTTTCATCTTGAAGAGAGCAAGCTAAAAGTGATATATGCATCCTTGCACCCTCCTTCACTATCATCCAAATACACTGAGAGACACCATTAAATCTCATATACTAGCATGCAGTGATCAACCGCCATCGTTCGGTCTTTTCTTCGACTCATGCGATTTTCACCTTCATTCTTGTCTATTTCTGCCACTTATACTTTGGATTACGTTGCTTGCATAGAGGAGCCAGCTAGGTCATGGGGATAGGGTGGGACCATCTTTTAGGTTAAAGTTGCAACAGTAGCATGATGATTGCGGTAGGGAGAGGATGGTGGCCCCAAGTGAAGTCACTTCAAATTTATCTGGTCTCCAACTTTGTCTTTTGCATCTCAACATTCCTCTGAGCATCTATTGAAAAGGTTGTAGTCTTGTAGAAGTCCAAATATCACAAGTTGTACCTCATCAATTAAGAGCTGCATGAGTCGACCGCCCCAACAGGTGGCAACATAAATTAGCCGAACTCATTGTGGCCCGGATATTGAACCGCGGTTTTCATTGCCAGATCATTCGTATGGAACATCAAAAGCACGATAGTTATGAAATAGGCGAACCACTAACCAAAACAAACCCGGCGTCACCATCACCGCTGCTACCATGAATTTAGACTGGAGTTCTTGATAACATTTCACCAAATCAGGAGTCCACACACAAAAGACAAACACCATGAATTCTTCAGCCTTGGCCACAATGGCCACACTAGGATGGCAAAGGATCAAAGATGTCAATTAGAGGGGGTTTGAAGCTACTACATTTTTTTGTCTTTTCTTAGTTGATTTTAGGGAGCTAGGAAAAGGATAAGCAAAGTGGGCATAGAGACGAAGATGAAACCCAAAGTTCACGTCCTCGGAGACTCCGTATGAGAGGTGGACCAAACAAGGCATCATGCGATACCAAGTCTCGTCTTCTTCTCCCTAAGCTCGTCCAACAAAGCCTGAGCTCAACCAATTAGGGTAAGTCTTGATGGTGACTTCCAACCTTCACAAACTTTGGGGCAACCCACAACTTAGAAGCTCACGAGTGACACCAATCTCCTAGGAATATCCAGCCTCCAAGAGTAACAAGATCAAGGGAGGCTTGGAAATTTGCTCAGATGCTAAATCTTTTGGTCAAAGGAGGGGGAAGGCTTGGATCTGAACTTGGTTTAACTTACCTCCCAACCCCCTCCCAAATCTCTCTCCCAATCCTAGAAAATGGCTCAAATGGCGCCAAGGGATAGTGGAGAATAGCAATGGGTCCTAGATCTGAAGTTTTGCTTGCAGGGTAGTCAACTCCGTGGGGGAGAAAGGTATATATATAGCTAAGTAAAAAAAACTAGTCGTTTATTACGAGAATCACACATACGGACGATTCGGGCTATTAGCCTTAGACAGCCCACAAACCCCTATTACTAGGGATTCAAGCTAGTAAATACATTCAAAGTGCTCCAGTGAAACATGTTGCCGGACAGCCTGGGATAATAACCAAGCTACTTTGGGGCAGAGGCTGGATAGAGAGTTGGATGGTCGGACGGGGACTTCACACCAACCCAACCCTATCTCAACATGCCATGCCACGGACACTCCAGGTAATCACCCCGGATAGTACGACCTATAAACCGAGTGGCTTCAAGCAGAGGCAGTACACTCTCCTGAACCGTCCAGCTCCTTGGACCGATCCTAGTCATTCTGGTGTACGTCTAGACTGCCAGGACTATCATTAGAAACACACTATCATTCCACACAATTCTGTGTGAAAAATCTTTTCAAATCTGTCCGACATAAAAAAAACTATAAATACAGTGATCTAAAACAGCAAACGATAGCAACGGCGCCTGCTATCACAGATAATCACATTTTTTTGTGTTTTCTGTGCAAAGTCACAAACATTTTCCCATGAAATTTTGCAGATTCCTAGTGTATTACTCCCTCAGTAAGGAAATATAAGAGCGTTTAGATCACTAAAATAGTGATCTAAACGCTCTTATATTTCTTTACGGAGGGAGTACAAAATTTACATATTAGAATGTTTCATGGATTTTCTGAAACCATAAACACTCTTTGATTCTTATTTTGAAGAAAAGGCTCACTAAAGATTGCGAGGTAGAAGCAATATCCAGTCAGATGGCATATCTCAGGAGGAGAGTCACAAAGCACACATGAAGTAGAAGTTCTTAGAGTTTGAAGTACCTGAGCAAGACATATTAACCGATTCCAGCTCCAAGGAAACAGGCTGAAGTTGTGAGCTCCCTCAGCGAAGTTCCTTCCGAGCGATTCTACTCACACCCATTTCAGATTTCACCTCTGCCAATTTTTCAGAGGCATAATTAGATACAAAGATACACATAAGAATGAAAAGATTTTGCTTGTAAATGGAATGGTAGATCAAAACAGGCAAATAAATTCAACGGATTTCCACTACGCACACAGGCAAAAATTGATATATGGTGTTTTTTCTCTCAGCTGGTATGTTTGGAGGGATGGCTTTCAGTGCAAACAACACTAAAAGGAAAATCGAAGAAAACTATTTCGAAGGAAGATCAGATCACTGCGGCGTTGAACTGCCAATTTGGAGATGTAGAACCGGTGAAAAGGCAGAAAAACACTGCACCCTCGTAGCAAAACATAAGCCCTTAATCTTCCTTGGGAAATCAAAGGATATTAATGCGAGTAAACGATTCAAAGCTCTAGACTTCCTAATGATTTTTCAAGCTGCGTTTAGACCGTCCCAAAAATTTGATGAAGATGGGAGACCCGAGAGTGCATTCCAGCCAAGAGAATCAAAGAGAGGCCGTCCGGATGGAAGCAAACAGGGCCGGAAACGAGTCAACCCACCGAAAGAATCCCAAGGAAGGAGAACAGAAATCTAATGAACAAGCACGTGGTGATGACTGACGACGAAAACAAAGCTCTCACCAAGTATATCATCTGATCCAAGCCAGCTGACGGATCGAGAAGGATGTCCTGCTCCGCTCGCCGCCCCCAAGCCGCTGAAAGAATCCCCGGTCCCAGTCCGGCAAGCGATCGAGCACCTGAAGAGCGCAACCAACCAAGAAACGCGATGAAGAAGACGCAGCAGAGAAAATCACCCGAAGAAGAAAAACCACAATCCCGACATCAAAGAGAAGATGCAATCCTAACCTGCTTTCCTCTTTTGCTTCCCGATCCATTGCCTGCTCCGCCATGCTTCTTCCTTCCTTCCTTCCCCGAATGGAATGGCGGGAGGGGGGGAGGAGGAGGCGGTCAACAGCAGGGAGTGTCTTCCCGCGTGGAATCCACATGTTTATTCGGTCCATGGCAAAGAGGCAAGAGGGGAAAGAGTCTGAACTCTGGGCAGGGAAGCTTTGACTCCAGGAAACGGAGACTCGACCCACTGATTGATTGCCATGCCCACCCAGATGCACGAAAAACATGCGGCCAAAGACTGTTCTACGCCTCGTAATTTTCCTTTAATTTTCCAAGCGTGAAACAGACGGGCCGAAAGCGAAAGCGCCACTACCGTCAGACATGTGGAGTTCAGGCGTCGCGCAATGAGAAACACATGCCTGCTCTGACTTTCCACGGGTCTTCAGGCAAAGGCACAACCTCAGGAATGAAAATGGTAGTATTACGTGTGCCAAAACACATGTGGAGAAATGCATCTGTTCCCCATTAACTACGAGCTAGTGGCACTAAAACAACTATACAACTGCCGCCGCCATCCGATCATCATCCTCACAAATAATTAAATTCGGCGCCCATCATCCTCTAAGCAAAGCACAAAACACGTGAAGATCATTTGCCGAAGGTGCTGCTACATGACTAGGACACTCGAGGAAATGAAATTAAACGACACGGGGGTCACTCGGGCCCGTCCGGCGGCTAGAGTAGCTTTTTTGCTTCGTCCGGGTCACTCACTTCCGCGTCCTCTTGCGCCCCCTCCGGCCCCTGGAGGTGGCGGCGGCGGCGGACTTCTCGGGGGAGCTGTGGGGGTCGCCGCCGCTGCCCGTCTCCGAGGGCTCGTCGTTGACGCTGTGATCTTTGTCGCTCCCTTCCTCGATAGGCTCTGTCCTGTCGGTGGAGTGGCCCGCCTCCTCCTCCTCCTCCTCCTCCTCCTTTGTAGCCTTGTCGGCGGATTCGAGCGCCGCGATTCTGTCCTTGAGCTGTCTCAGCTTGGCCTTCTTCGAGTTCAGAACGGCCACGAACTGAAAGCAACGGCACAACAGTGAGTTCCACTGAGCAGCGCATAACAAGACCAAAACACAAGCCTTCAGGAGATTTATAATTAATTCAGAACGGAATGGGAATAAGGCTGGAGTTTAAAAGTCAATACAGTAGAAAGCAGATAACTCTGATTAATTGATGATTAGGAAAACGTGGCGCTCAACGACCTGTGATGGTAGACTAGTAGTCTTCCTGTAGAAGCAACAGGGATATGTAGACTGATGCGAATTCCGTACCAAATTGCATACCAAAACATGGCTAGCGACAGGCGCACATGGAACAGGTCGATGTACGGAACTGTACCTTTGTAAAGGAGGCTTGCTCAAACTCAGCCTTCTCGGTGTTAAATCTTTCACTCTGTTGCAAGCAATTCTCAGCTTCTTGTTTGACCTTCTCAAATGATTGTGTCTTCCTGACAACCTCTTCCTGAATAAACAAAACTACATCTTTGTAAAATTTAGGTAACAAAGTTCAGACATATCCTGACAAACAATTAATCCCACAATCATGATTATATATGTATGACTCTTCAATATATTCATATGCAGTTATGGATGCAAGTATGGGCAGTTGAGCGACCCAACGACCCATCTAGTTATTTGCTATTTGCATAAAGTGAATGAACTGCATGTAAACGGGTCGTCGGTCAGCCCACTTACACCCCAACATACATTGCCAAGTACTCAGAATACCACAGAACTATAAATGCAAGAAGTACAGAGCAAAGGGACGTACACTCAAGCGTATATTTGCATCCATAAGAAAATCCAAGACCTCAGCAATAGTCTGTTGTGGGTGGGGTGCCGGCTGCAGTTTCCAACGCCATTCCAGCTTGGTACCTTGTTTTTCGAATGTCCATGACAACTAAATGGTAGACAAAGGCCACATGTCAGAAAATAAAAGAGGAAAAAAGATAATTAAGGACATCTGGATGTCCTTCCATAAGCTATAAAGCACGAAGAACCCCCTTTCAACATAAGTAATGATTGTATAAACCACTCTCTGATTCAAACATTTTAATCTTCGACATTGCCCATATTTCAGGATGACAGTAAGCCAGTACCTCAATAAAAGTTCAATTTGCGCATACCATGTGAGTAAATTGAAAATAATAGCAGTACCTCAAAGGCTCAAACAGATTGCTAAGACATCAAGACAACGATAAATAAACTATGTGCATCACTCTTAAATGCAGTGATGAGTACACACTACCTAGGCATTTTTTTAGATTAATATGTTTGTGAACCCCCTTTCAACATAAGTAATGATTGTATAAACCACTATCCGTTTCAAACATATTAATCTTCGACATTGCCCATATTTCAGGATGGCAGTAAGCCAGCACCTAAATAACAGTTCGATTTGCGAATACCATGTGAGTAAATTGAAAATAACAGTACCTCAAAGACTCAAACAGATTATTAAGGCATCAAGACAACGATAAATGAAGAATGTGCGTCAATCTTAAAGGGAGTGATAAGCAGACACTACAAATGCGTTTTTAGATTAACTTTTCTTTATTAATGAACAAGTCATTGTTTATATGCTAAGTTTAGAAAGGACTGACACATCATTGAAATGTATAAATAGTTAGTACAATATATATGGTTAAACACTTGTATTGGCAAATGACTTGCAGCTAATACCAAATCGGCATTTTTCTCAAATTTTAACCCATCTATATCTACAACCGCCCTTTCCATGAAACCAAGCAAGTGTAGTTTAACTTTGCAACTGCTTCGCAAACTAGGAAGACCCAAGTCCAAAAACTTGAATGGAAGTCAGTACTCAGGTGGTGTGGGGGAGAGATAAGCCTTTTCTTGATGGGTAGTACATTGGCAACAGCAACATCAGAAATTGCTCCCCAAATTGGGTGCAAAAGAAGCACATCACCATCACCACTATCACTATGAAACCCATGATATGTCAATATTAATTACTTTTTGGGTCAATAAACACTGGCTAATATGATACTCCCTCTGTCCCAAAATAAAATTGTACTCCCTCTGTCCCATAATGTAGGACGTTTTTTGACACTACACTAGACTAAAAAAAACATCTTACATTATGGAACGGAGGGAGTACTAAGGTTGAGACACTTATTTTGGGACGGAGGGAGTACATTACTCCTGGGTGAGCAATATTTTTACATCTTACATGGGAAATACTACTCGGTAATAATTGACAAAATTAGTGAAATAAGCGGTGAAGAAAAGTGACACTTCACATATATCAAACAACATGAAGTCAGCTATACGAATTCCAACTTGCTCTTGAATTAGGAACCTATTCGGATTAACCCTACATTTTTCATGTATCCATCCATATAGCAACGGAGATAGGAGAAGGGGGCAAGAGCCGAACGCACCCTGCGGCCGGCGCCAGCCTCGTGGAAGGAGTAGGTGGAGGAGGGCTGGTGGAAGGCGAGGTAGCGCTCGGCGAGGGCGAGGTACTCGGAGACGGGCTGGTCCCACTGCTCGGCCCGGAGGCGCACCTCGGCGTCGGAGGCGTCGGCGACCCAGGCGCCGGCGCCGTCGGTGACGGCGAGGGAGAAGCGGGTGGGGAGCCACGTGGCCTTCACGAATATGCCGCCGCCGCCCGGCGCCTTGGGGTCCTCGACCGCCACCGAGAGCTTCGCGCAGCTGTGCCTCGGCGCCGCCGCCATGGTCGCCGAGCGAGAGGAAATCGACGGCTGAGTCAACGCACGACGGGCAGAGGAAGGGCTGACTGTGGGCTAGGCTGGTCTGGCCTGTGCCCTCTGGGCTGCTTCTCTCAAATTTAGGGCTTGATGCATGTGCACCGGCAACACTTTATGTTGAAAGCCCAAGAAAACAAGCCCACCAGCGAAAACATCACAGAGGTGTGTACTACTGTGTGTGTGTGGTTCGAGCGCATGCATCAAGCCCAAGAGAAAAATGTTCCAGTCTTCAAGATTTGTTCACAGATTCAAAAAATGTTCACGTGATTTTGAATCTTGTGTTTGTACATGTAAACATTATTTCAGGATAAATAAAGCTTCGCGTGATTATCTCAAAAAAATGTTCACGTTTATCATGGTTTATCACAAATTCGATAAATGTTCATGAATTTTACATACATGCATGATTTAAAAAAAACATGGTTTCAAAACCCGTTTATGAATTCCAAAATTGTTCGTGATTCAAGAAATGTTTGTGAATTCCATAAAAGATCGTGTGCCTCGAATTATTCTACCAAAATGGGAGGAGGTGTGACGTGGTTCTGTCAGAGTCGGAGGAGGTGCTCGGTTTCTTTCCTTCTCTCTCTCAACGAATGTTTCTCTCAGACTAGAGTATACTAGTCGAAGGCACGTGCTCTGCACGTGTGCATTCTTAATTACATTTTTTCACACAAGCATGAGAATTTTAAATATAAATGGAACACTTTTTATATGTAGTTTTAGCTTCGCTGCCTCATGTCAGAGTTACAATGTTCATGGAAACAAGATTTAATTTTCTTATATTTGCAAAACATGTATAAAGTAATTTTGGTTAACACTTACTTGACAAACTTGTTGTTAATATTCTTAAAACAGTAAATCACATCATGGGGTCAATTTGTTTTCAAAAAGTAATCATCTACATGCATTCTACATCACTTGGACATAGATGGAATTAATGCTTTCTATACCATGTGTATCGATATTTTTTGCAAAAAAGATGGATATGTATAAGTCCATATATACTCCCTCCGTATAAAATCTAAACGCCCTTCTATTTCTTTACGAAGGGAGTACAATACATGTATATGCATTGTAGCATCATAAAATTCATGCAAAAACGTGAGAATAGCCGTTCCGCTCGACCTTCTTTTTTTTTGACCTTTTTTTATTTGAGTGGTAATCGCTTTATTTTTATTTATTTTTGAGAAACTGAGGGGTAATCGCTCGACCTTCTACGTCCTGCCTTTTATGGTTTTGGGCTGACAATCAGCTATACGCATACGGGCCTTGAAGCTTGCCACTGGGCCAACTGTAAGCAGACTGCTCAAGAAATGAAAACGTCAACACCAGGTCTCTGCCTCTGGCTGTCGAGGAGAGTTCTCCCAAAATAGAACACAATCGAGCGGTGCGCCACGGCGCCGGTCGCTTCTCCCGTATCTGCCCCCCGGGCCTGCCGAATGTCGACCAAAGGTCATGCCACGCCGACTCGGCTGTGGAGCAGAGCGGATTGCCACGCCGCCGCCGGCGCACCGCACGACCGGGCCATCCGGCAATTGCGCTCGCCTCGTCCAGTCGTCATCAGCAGGCACGGCAGCGCCCGAATCCGGCAGCCAAGGCCGCACACAGCACACGCTGGCAGGCGGCACACTCCATGCCTCCACGACTCCGTCGCTCTGACGCACTGGCGCAAGAGATACATGTGAAGTCTGGAGGCTTCCGTGTGTTGTGGAGTTCCCTAGAAGAGGTGACTGGTTTTCAGATTTGGCGGGATTGATTGGGTGGCGAATCCGGATGACACATACCGTCCGATTTGATAGAGTTGACGTCTACAGATGAATCTATTTGGGAAGTGGCGGGTAAAACAAGGGAGAGCAAGGCATATTCAAATGTTCGAAAGTTCGTGTACTATAGTAGTAGAGATAGAGATATTTCGCCGGTCTTGTCTAGCTGATTACAACAGAAATTTACAATACCAGCAGGAACTCGTTTTCCAGATGCAATAACTATAGATAGTAGGTGCACAAATTTTCAAAAAAAAAAATTCAAGCGTAAGGCTGTATACATTCAAGATAAACTAAATTGAAGAAATGTCATGTTGTGCACATGAATTGTGCCTACGGTATTTACATCTACAACTGCTAGAACGGTGCAAATAGAGTAAATACTAGTTCACATAGTCACCAAGAAAACATGTTAAAACGCTAGAATACGAGCCAGCATTTATGGTATAAAGAAGAAGAAAAAAGAAGTACTCCCTCCTTTCCGGTTTATCAGGCTCAATTCAAAAATCTCACCAACCAAGATAGATGATGAGTGGTGGAATATTTTTTGTAGTTTGCAAAAGCACCCAATTAATGCTCTTGTTTTCCTCAAAAAATTATGTTTACGAATGCATTAATTGCAATGCATTGATCAGTTTTTTCTTAATACTTGCATGCAATGATTTAATGCACCTTGAAGTCTGAACATGTGATGGAAAACAACCAAATTGAGCCTCATAAAATGGAAAAACTAAACTTTTGAGATAAGCCCTATAAACCGGAAAGGAGGGAGTATAGATACATTCATGCAGTCCTCAATAAAAGAAGTTGTTTTCAAATGATGCGATATTAATATTGATATCTTCTACGTGGAATTAAAAATCATCAGAGTAATGAACAGTACAGCTCAATGAACAGACCGGACACTATTGCACAACATCGAGTGCCCACAATGAAACACAAAGAAAATGACAAGTTGAGAGGCGGCAACACAATGAGTAAGTTAAAATATTCCAATGAGTAGACGTAGGTTGATTCAGTCCAGCAACATTTGTGGTTTGAAACAACGGAACAATGACTCTTGGTCATGATTTCATTCTGGAAGAAAAGATGGAAATTATATATATATCCATAATTGAAAGCTTTTTTCTCAAACTTGGTAAAATTTATATCTGTCTTTTCTATACATTTTGAATGAAACATGAAAAGACCTAACCAGACCGAGGGATGAATTATCGTAGTCTTAAAACAGGACACCGCGTAATTTAAGAGAATTATTGACAAATGTTTTGATTGCTTGCAAAGTTTCATCATCGGTTGACATTTGTGGAAGAATTGGCAAAAAAAATCGATGCTCCAAAAATGTTATCACAACCCCCCCTCCCCCCCGGGGGACGAGACTTGCCTGCTCCCCTCCCGTGTGCCCATCCGTGCTCCTGCATACGTGGCTTGATTTGATTAGAACAAAATAAAGCCCGGCCCCACCCCCTTAAAATCAGGGGGAGATGATTAGATTAGAAAGAAAAAAAGAAAAAAAATACAACCGTTGGATGAGGTGGGAGCACGGATGGGAGCATG